CCCCCTCCCTTCCCCTCCTGCAGCACAGCCAACCCCTGTGGGCGCCTGCCCCCCCTCCTGCAGCACAGCCAAACCCCGTGGCTGACCCCCGCTCCCGTGGTGCAGGGAAACCCCAGTGCTTGACTCACCCCTCCAGCACCGGCAGCACAGGGAAGCTGCTGCACTCCTCCTCCAGGGCCAACGCCCCCTCCCCCAGCACGCAACAGAACTGTGGGAGGGGAGCAGCCCGCGCACTTCTGGAAGCCCTGGAAGTGACGCGGGCTTCAGACAGGACTTCTGTCCACCCCGCGGGAAGCTGGCACTACACTAGAGGTAGGTAGTGGGGCTTCTCGGAGCTGGGGGGAAAATGGGGGGTAGGAGTGCCCGAATGCCTCGCGATCGACTGGTCGAGGACTCGCGATCGACTCAATGGGTTGGTGACCACGGCAGTAGGTAATGGGAAGACTTCCCTCTCTCCAATTTGGACAGCACCTTCCATTTTTTGCTTGTCTTGAGGATGAAAAGTTTTAGAACTATTTGGAATAAGAATGAAACCTATGCAGTGTATTTGGTTCATTTCTGACTCAGAGAGAAGGAACACCATCTATTGAATCACTAACATCACTTCCTACAGCACCTGCATTTTCAGTGTCTCTGGTCCTACCCATGTAATGACCAGTTGAGAATGCATTTAGCTTTACAGCTCAAGGCCATGTTGAGAATGCATTTAGCTTTACAGCTCAAGATACATAGCTTCAGGAATACAACTCACTTCCAGTGTGTGTGTGTCAGTGCGCCACAAGCATCCAGAGCAAGCTTATTCAATGAACCTCCCACAGAAAAAGAGTCCAACTGTCATTTCCAATCACCATTAAGCCATTTTTCAGTAGCAAAAAATATTTTATAATAAATTACAGAACAAAATAAAATGTCAAACATGGGACTGCAGTGACATTTCAGTTATCTTGTTTGTCATTCAGAGAAAACTTCATTTAGAAAAAAGTTCCTGAAAAAGACCTTTCTAATCTCTAATAAAACTTCAGGAAACAATGCTGTGACACTGGGAATTCAAGTTCACAACCATTTGGAGAAAATGGGAAAGTGCAATCCTTATTTTGCTTTAAAAGTCACAATGGCAAAAGGTTAAACACCTAAAGTCAGAACTCCAGCTCACTGTAACCAACTAATTTTGCAAGCATAGACATTTAAGATAAAGTACTTCTCAGAAGTTAGAATGCATACAGGGCTGCACTGGTGTCTTCATAGCACAGGAGGTGGTGGACTTTTTTCTCTTGTTGTTCTCTCTAGTCAAAGGGGTTGTAGCCTTCTGCATCTAAAAGTCCCTCTTAGTGGCTGCTTCTATTTTGGTACTTCATCCTTGTCTCCTGCATGAAGTTTCTGAAGGCTGGTTCTTCATGGCTTTCCTCAGTGACTAGAGAAAAAAAATCATAAATCAATTCTGCATAAGATTCTGAGTTAAGGCAGGAGTAATGCTACTGGGAACATAGAATAACATGGAACAGAGTGGCTGGGAGGGTGGACTTTTTTCTCTTGCTGTTCTCTCTAGTCAAAGGGGTTGTAGCCTTCTGCATCTAAAAGTCCCTCTTAGTGGCTGCTTCTATTTTGGTACTTCATCCTTGTCTCCTGCATGAAGTTTCTGAAGGCTGGTTCTTCATGGCTTTCCTCAGTGACTAGAGAAAAAAAATCATAAATCAATTCTGCATAAGATTCTGAGTTAAGGCAGGAGTAATGCTACTGGGAACATAGAATAACGGAGCGGGGGGGGGGGGGGGGGGGGGAACCAATGGCCCACAGGCTAGATCCAGTCCCTGGCCTACTTAGATTTGGTCCCTGGCAAGGCTCGGAGCTTCCCTCTGCAGTGGGCCAAACCAGCACTCACTTCCAGTCCCACGACATGAGCAGAGCCCTGGAGCAAAATGTGAGTATCTTTATTTATTGCTCCGCACTTGTGTGTTCCCCAATTGATTTCTCCGTGGGTCAATGGCCACTGACCAAAAAAGGTTTTCTACCCCAATCTAGGTCTTCATCTCCTTGGCTCACTCAAGTCCTAGGAACTCACAGGAAAGGAATATGAGAAGCTAGAAAGTCAGAAAGGAAAATAGAAACGGTGCAAGTTGATATGGTCACTCATGCCCTAAGCTGAAGGGAAAAGGTGACAGCTGCCAAAAGCAGAACTTTGTGGGACTGCCAAAGAGGAAAAGACACTGAGCAATTTGACATAGCAGTGAAAGGTATAGCCAGTGACAGCATCGTAATTTCTCTTCTAAAATGTTAACTTTCTAAAATCTTAGCCTCTCCCTCTGACATCTTTTCATGAATATGTAACCATTAGCTCAAGCACTATGCAGTTAAAAACAAAACTTCTCATCTCCCCCTTCCCCCAGCTCAATCCACCACCTCTCAACATCACTATCCTGCCTGGCACTCATCCTTCATCAGATTCGCTCTAGGTTCTCAAATCCAGACATTTGTCTAAATCTTGCTGATTTTTTTCTGTCTCTAAGGCCTTGTCTACACGGCAAAATTTTATTCTCAAAAGGCAGATTTTGACAACAAAACAGGGGAGGTGTACACACTGCAATGACACTTTTTGGTGAAAAAACTCTTCAGTTTCAGTGACAAACACACCTCAATGAGTGTCAGTGTAGAAACTACCATTTACTAGATCACAGAACTGGCCTTCCCTGGTGTCCCACAATCTGCCATGATCATTTTGCTCATTGTTTTGAACTCTGCTGTCCTGCAAGCATGCATGTGTGTGTGAGAGAGAGAGAGAAACTACTGTGCTGAGCAGAATCAAGGCAGAAGGAAGATGTCAGGCATGTGTCTCTGTCTGGCTGCTGTCTGAACTTAAGGAGACAGCATGCTGACACATTCACTCTTGCCCAGCATACATAGATGAATGTAGGAGATAGCTGTGTAGAGAGTCTCTGGGTTAAGCTAAAAGGGGTAAAAAACGAGGGTGATATCATGCTAGGAGTCTACTACAGGCCACCTAGCCAGGTGGAAGAGGTGGATGAGGCCTTTTTTAAACAATTAACAAAACTATCCAAAGCCCAAGATTTGGGGGTGATGGGGGACTTCAACTATCCAGACATATGTTGGGAAACTAACACAGCGAGGCACAGGCTATCCAATAAGTTTCTGGACTGCATTGGAGACAACTTTCTGTTTCAGAAGGTTGAAAAAGCTACCAGAGGAGAAGCTGTTCTGGATTTGGTTTTAACAAATAGGGAGGAACTAGTTGAGAACTTGAAAGTGGAAGACAGTATAGGGGACAGTGACCACGAAATAATAGAGTTCATGATCTTAAGGAAAGGTAGAAGGGAGACCACCACAATTGAGGTTATGGATTTCAGGAAGGCAGATTTTGATAAGCTCAGAGAACTTGTAGGTAAGGTCCCATGGGAAGCAAGACTGAAGGGAAAAACAACTGAGGAGAGTTGGAAGTATTTCAAAGGGACGTTGTTAAGGGCCCAAAAGCAAACAATTCCGCTGTGTAGGAAAGATAGAAAATATGGCAAAAGACCAGCTTGGCTTAACAAGGAGATCTTGCACGATCTCAAAATAAAAAAGGAGTCATATAAAAAATGGAAACTAGGACAACTAACAAAGGATGAATATAGGCAAGCAACACGGGAATGCAGGGGCAAGATTAGAAAGGCAAAGGCACAAAATGAGATCAAACTAGCTACAGGCATAAAGGGAAACAAGAAGACCTTTTATAAATACATTAAAAGCAAGAGGAAGACCAAGGACAGGGTAGGCCCACTGCTTAGCGAGGAGGGAGAAGCAGTAACAGGGAACTTGGAAATGGCGGAGATGCTCAATGACTTCTTTGTTTCGGTCTTCACCGAGAAGTCTGGAGGTGTGCCTAACGTAGTGAATACAAGCAGAGAGAGGGTAAGTTTAGAAGATAGGATACACAAAGAACAAGTTAAAAATCACTTAGGAAAGTTAGATGTCAGCAAGTCACCAGGTCCTGATGAAATGCATCCCAGGATACTCAAGGAGCTGATAGAGGAGGTATCTGAGCCTTTAGCTATGATCTTTGAAAAATCATGGCAGACAGGGGAGATTCCAGAAGACTGGAAAAGGGCAAATATTGTGCCCATCTATAAAAAGGGGAATAAGAACAACCCAGGAAACTACAGACCGGTCAGTTTAACGTCTGTCCCAGGGAAGATAATGGAGCAGGTAATTAAGGAAATCATATGCAAACACTTGGAAGGTAATAAAGTGATAGGGAATAGCCAGCATGGGTTTGTGAAGAACAAGTCATGCCAAACTAATCTGATAGCTTTCTTTGATAAGATAACGAGCCTTGTGGATAAGGGAGAAGCGGTGGATGTCATATACCTAGACTTTAGTAAGGCATTTGATACGGTCTCGCATGATATTCTTATTGATAAACTAGGCAAATATAACTTAGATAGGGCCACGATAAGGTGGGTGCATAATTGGCTGGATAACCGTAGTCAGAGAGTTGTTGTTAACGGTTCTAAATCCTGCTGGAAAGGGATAACAAGTGGAGTTCCTCAAGGGTCTGTTTTGGGACCCATACTGTTCAACATCTTCATCAATGATGTAGATATTGGGATAGAGAGTACGCTTATTAAGTTTGCAGATGATACCAAACTGGGTGGGGTTGCAACTTCTTTGGAGGATAGGGACATAATTCAAAATGACCTTAGCAAGTTAGAGAAATGGTCAGAGGTAAACAGGATGAGGTTTAATAAAGAGAAATGCAAAGTGCTCCACTTAGGAAGGAACAATCAGTTCCATACATACAAGATGGGAAGCGACTGTCTAGGAAGGAGCATGGCAGAAAGGGATCTAGGGGTCATAGTGGACCACAAGTTGAATATGAGTCAACAGTGTGATGCTGTTGCAAAAAAAGCAAATATGATTCTAGGTTGTATCAACAGGTGTGTTGTAAGCAAAACTCGTGAAGTCATTCTGCCGCTCTACTCTGCACTAGTTAGGCCTCAGCTGGAGTACTGTGTCCAGTTCTGGGCGCCACATTTCAAGAAAGATGTGGAGAAATTGGAAAGGGTACAGAGAAGAGCAACAAGAATGATTAAAGGTTTAGAGAACATGACCTATGAAGCCAGGCTTCATGAACTGGGCTTGTTTAGTTTGGAAAAAAGAAGATTAAGGGGGGACATGATAGCGGTTTTCAAATATCTAAAAGGGTGTCACAAGGAGGAAGGAGAAAATTTGTTCCTCTTGGTTTCTGAGGACAGGACAAGGAGTAATGGGCTTAAAGTGCAGCAGGGGAGGTTTAGATTGGACATTAGGAAAAAATTCCTAACTGTCAGGGTGGTCAAATATTGGAATAAATTGCCAAGGGAGGTGGTGGAATCTCCCTCTCTGGAGATATTTAAGAACAGGTTAGATAGACATCTGTCAGGGATGGTGTAGACAGAGCTTGATCCTGCCTTGAGGGCGGGGGGCTGGACTCGATGACCTCTTGAGGTCCCTTCCAGTCCTATTATTCTATGATTCTATGAAAAGCATGAGTGGCGTGGAGAGGGTGCATAAAGAAAAGTTCTTCGAAATACTCCCCCCAATACACACTGCCAGTCTCTTGCTCCCAAACTCCCTGTCACACGTTCCCCCATTCTCCCCCATTGCAGTTTTAAAGTGGCAGGCAATCTAGTAGGATGCCCTTGAAACAAAGGGATTGAGAAACCTGCATCATTTGATGCTGTAGCTAGCCCATGAGGCATTGCAAACCCTCCCCAAAGCACTCTGGGGCCAGTTGCACAATGGGCTAGCTACCCACAGTGTCAATGCTTGTATGTATGCACTCTGCTGGCACAAAGAACATAGCATGGACATGCAAAAGTGGTTTAATTAAAGTGCTTTAATTAAAAAGGCAAAACTTTGTGACAAAACTCCACAGTGTAGACATAGGCTAAGATATAGCCTTTCTTTTCCATCCACGTAGTTTAAACAGCCATCCAAGTCTTACATCTCAATTATTGCAGCATTGTTCTCTCTAGCCTTGAAAAATGCAATCTTGCCCTGCTTATATCCATTCAGAATGCTGGTTGAAAGAATTTTCCAAGCTTCTTTGACCAGGTCATTTGTCTCTTAGAATCATAGAATACTAGGACTGGAAGGGACCTCGAGAGGTCATTGAGTCCAGTCACCTGCCCTCATGGCAGGACCCAGTACTGTCTAGACCA